GTCTAAAGTTGCCCTTTAACTCAACTCATCTAAACTCCTCCCTCAAATATATTTAGAGAAATTTACATACATACCATGCAATTTTTATGTTTCATAAAAAAAAACATAGCAAAAGTAACAAAGATAATCAAAACAAACTTTCTTTACATAACATCACAGATAAAATAATAAAAATTAAGAAGAATACAAAATATTATTTGGTAGCCCAAAACTGTGACAAATTCCATTACAATTCAACGAAAAATTAAGCTTAACTATAAAATTAAATTGAAATTGTCAAGTTGTGCAAAATTCAATGCCAACAAACTGATATACATGGAGAAGAACAAAGCTTGGATATCAAAGCATCCATCTCATCTACTTGGGACAAATCTTCATGTCAGTACCATTAATAAATCAGTCACAATTTTGTGAGAATCCTACCCACCAAATTTCTAACTGCCACAAAGAAAAATCAATAGTCACAACTTTGTGAAAATCCTACCCACCAAACTTCTAACTGCCACAAAAAAAAATCAACGCTAGTTAAGAATCAAAATTCCTAGAACAGAATAATAATAGAAAAACCTCAACTTCATTCCGGGATCCAATGGCATGCATCAGCAGCGGTATGTATGTAAATGCAGTGGTATGTATGCAAATGATCCTGTTTCAGCTCCATATAACAAAAATAATTGAGTACAGCTCGGGCAAGTTATAAATATAGCACTACAAACATTGATAATTACAAAGCAAGCACCCTTGTTCATTGAAGTGTTATGGAATTATTCTTGCATAGGAATATTTAAAATAGGGTGATTTCATAGCACTCTGATTATAAATACACTTTCATTCAGAATGCTATATAATCTTTTTCTTCCCTTTCTCTAGACTGCTTTATGTTTTGGTCTTCCTGTAGTTCACGGGAAGGGGCTTATGAGATGGGACAATTAATGATAGATGTTTTATATATCTTTATATCTATATAAATATGAATAATTATATAATGTAACTAACGTTATATATAATTTTCTTAAAGCACCACATAACAATTGATGCTTAGCTTGCCTTTCTACTTTCCCCTAATGCTGCTATAGCGCGAACAAAAAAATTAAATAAAAATTTTTGGTTTAATTAAAACTGATATTAATTCCAGAATATTTTGATCTTAACATTAATTATATATATTAAAATAATAATTTTGAAGAGCATACTACAATACAATGATTTATGATGATGTTTAAAATAGCTAAATATTTACAAAACTAGCACCTATCCTCAATCATTTCTCACAATCTTACTCAACTGTCAAAGGAACTTACTGGTATGGTTCATCTTATGACTGCTCAACCCAATAGTAGCAGCCCAAAACAACATAAAAAATGTAGAATATAAGTGATTCTGCTTCATCACAAATTTAGGATATTCAAAAATTCATTTCTCTTTGAACCCCTCCAATTTAAACATAAAAATCATATTTTTAATCAGATTTTAAAAAGAAAGAATGCTGCAAAAGGCACTACTCATATCAGATTTTAAACTAAACTTTGTTTTTTTACATTTACACCATTCAAATCAGATTTAAATCTAACGAAATGAATTCTGAACTTAAATATTGTGTGGTATGTAAAATAAAGCAACAGTAAAATTAACTTTATATAAGAATTTTGTGCTCTAAAATATATAAGAATTCTGTGTTCTAAAACATATGTAAATATATAAGAATTTTGTGCTATGTATGTAAAGCTTGGGAATCAACTTTATTTTAAGACAAAATCATGTAGTCAAAACTGTTTACTTACAGGAATTAGAAAGCAGCAGTAAAATTAATTTTATTATAAATGCAAATTCATGAACTTAATACTATTTATAACCAGGAAACATTGGTTGGAAACATATGTAAAGATATTTGATCTTCAAATCTTTCCTGGCCCGCTGTAACATCAGAGACATATGTAAATATATAAGATTTTTGTGTTATTTATGTAAACCTTGGGAATTTTGTGCTATATATGTAAATTTAATCAGAAATATTCCTTACATTTAGGTGTGAGAAATGTAAACTCATCATAAAGATCTGCTAGAAAATTAACTACTTTCAGCATTATCATTGGTGCTAAAAAAATACTGCAAGATATCACAGTATCAAAAAAAGTAGCTCAATGATTTTCATATAGTTCTCAGGTCTAAAACTAAAAAAATAAAAGCAACGGAATAGATAAATATGAAGTTGAATAAAATTCAGTGTAGCAATATTTTTAATAATATTCAACTAATAAATTCTCAAATTCTTCATTCATAGGCATACTATCTCATCAGTAATTCGTTCCTTCAGCTCTGTCATCTCGCTTGCACCTTCCTCATCTACAGTGAAGGCAATGGAAGCCTCGGTCTCTTCTTCTGTGAAAGACTGACCTAGCCGGTCTTCAAATGCTTCCAAGGGCATATTTTTTTCATTCTCTTCCGTCAAATGAAAGTTGATATCGCTACGGGAATGATGTCTTTTTATGTAATTATGAAGTCATTGTAGCAAAGACAATTTGTACCTGCTTCGAAAAATTATAGGGAGGCATATTACGGAGTATCACATATTTCTTTTTTCAGACACCAAAAGTCCTTTCAATTACACCACGTAGCGATGAATGTCGTTTATTAAACATTTCATTTCTTCTTCGTGTGACGTTACTTGCACATTCGAAGTCTGGTATGTGATATCCCGTATCAGAAAATGATTTTAAATAAAATACCCTTGTTGCAATGGGAAACCAGCATCAACCAAGTAATATTTGCCTAATAAATGAAACAATTAATAAGGAGATTCAAGTTTTTATTGGGATTCTCAAGTAATATTTGCCTAATAAATTGAACAATTCGTATGAGTTCAATTCCGAGCGTACCTGTAGGTAGATGTGGAAAGTTGCTATTGCCCGTGTCGCAGATTTGAAAACTCGACTGTCATGTGCGCTGCCCTCCCAGTCAGTCATAACAAAAGTGAAACACATGTTATAGTCGCAGACGGTCATGACATTTTGGGTAGGGCTACCACAACTGTCGATAAATGCCACCTTATCACTATTTAGGATACGTGCGTCAACATGTATTTCATCAATCGCGTCAATGCAGTTCTGATGAGTAAATGTTAGGTTTGACATATTATTGCTTACCCTAACAAAGTTAACTATAATGCATCCGAGAGAATACCTTGGAAAAGGGCATATATCATGCATCACGTGCTATCTCAGCGGGTATCTGCTCAAACTTATAATCTGATGGTCTGATGACATGAGAGGACAGACTAACAAGTGCGCTAAATCCGATTGAGAAATATTAATATCTGCTTATTGTTTCTGATGAGTGTTGAAATCGCTCCATTGCTCCTCGCATAGACTCATTTTGGGATAATATGAACAGTGTTATTGCGAGCACCTCACGTGGATTGGTTCTCGAAGATCCATGAAGACCGTGAGATCCTACGAGTAAGTCCATAATATCGATAAATATTGTCTGACTCATTCGAAATATATTAAAAAATCGTGTTGGGTGCCCTGCAAGCAACTCTTCAATCCATTTGTCGCCAATATAAGAAGATGTCATGCTTGACGACCGATAAATATACGTGTTATAGTACTCGTACATCAAACATATTGCCGTCAGAAACATCCTTCTACGTTTTCTTCTGCGTTTATCCATGTGGGCCTCCATCCATCTTCTTCTATTTGCATCCATAGTGATGGGTATCCCTAAATGTTTCTCCTAAATAATTATCATTTATATGAAAGTTGGTAACAATAGAAAAAAAGAAATGTTTGCAAATAATTATGAAGGTACAAGAGAGTTCACAAGCATAACTCTAGAAAGAAAAAAATAGATAATGCTGTGTAAATGTTCTAGTGATGAAAAATATAAAAAATATCAATTGTTCAAACAATTATAAAAATGCCGAATATATGCCATTCTGCGGGTGACAGGCATCTGCACAAAGAAATCCCTACGGACCGGGTCCTCTAGCAATTCTGCTGCAAACAAATACAACTTTTCATCTACATAAATTTCGGCTGTAGCACTTAGAATTTCAAGTGCCTTCGCGATTGTGCTTGAATGAGAAGCCTGACATTCTGCTTTGAAACAAGAAACCGCCTTGGATAGCTCAATTTTGAGAGAAGAAGCACCAGATTTTCGGGAAGAAGCACCAGATTTTCTTTTATCAACAACCCTCGGACGTTTGGAACGGGAAATAGTTTTATATTCGTTCTGATCTGGGTTGGGGACGTTAATGAAATCAACTGAACCTCCAGGGGTTCCCAAATTCACGACA